GGGAGGTTGAGACCCCTGGCGTGTATGCGTGCAGCATGCCCCAAACGGCGACAGAGGACACTGTAACGACCGCACTGCTACTAGTCGGGTTGCTGGGCTCAGGCAGGGGGGACATCGATGCATGGAAGAGGAAAACGCGGATGAAGTCGGTTCTGAGGAATTCATACTCACGGCCAAACAGCACCTCACTCACTGCGATAACAAGTCTGACGCGTTTGGCTTCAACCAGGAGGTCTTGATTTGGAAGATTGCAGCTGAGGGAGGGCTAACACTCGGTGCCTATTTCGAACAAGGGCTGGTCTACAATGTTATCGGGATGATATCTTGCACTCTGCGAGATCGGAGCTCCTGCGCGTGTGGTATGCGGTAGACAGCGATTTAGCTCCCATTACGTAATACATTCAGTCTCATTGCCAGACGAATTGCCTCCAACAAGTCATGAAGGTGGAAAGACAGAGTTAGACCAACCCAGGCCAGATCCAGTGGCCAGTCCGTGCTCAATTCACAATGAATAAAATTTGGCACACAAACTACACAACAGCGGGAAATTACAAGCAATCCATAATCGCCAAAGATTGCAATTGTCGACATCGTGGAGAAATGTCCTTTAAAAAGTTGCAAAGTGTAGGCTGAATTGGACTTTTTTCAAAATGGTGCTATCGTCGTACGCTGATGACCTCATTGTGGTTCAAACAAACAAAGATAAAACTCGGTTTATAATGGATGTATTAGGGCAACCGATGCATATAAAAGAATATTTACATGCGAATAGAGGGAGGAAAAGAGTGGCAGCTCAATTTGAAAAGCTCGAAGTGAGATAAACCCAGTTCAGTTTCAGCGGCCAGTTCGTCGCTACAGAAAGGAAAATACGCTCTGAAGATACCAGGACACGAGCAAAATCACACGTTCGAAGACTGCTAGCTCGGGCACATACAGGAATGAGCCGCAGGATTCCACGATGCCTTCCCTACTCCTTCATAGTGTAGCCTCAATTGCACTGCCCATCAATGCAGCCTAGAAGTTCTGGAGCAGGAACCAAGTCGTGTGTATACGGCGTGTTTAGTTTTGTCCGTCCATATATTGACACTCGTTCGACAGTTCGATCGCCAGTTTCGATGATGTCTACCGTATGTTCCACAACGAGATGGTGCAGGGACGGTCACTTGCGCCTGAATTAGTGCGCAGCAACTACCGAAATCGCTCTTCCCCTCACCCATTGCCGGCGCTGTATAAACCGCACTCCCTCTTTCCTAACGCATCCAGCCCTGGTGTCAAGACACAGTCAAGAAGACCGGAGGTGGTATCGGGGACAGGTGACTGGTGCGGCCAATGTCTCGTCCACAAGCCATGGCTACACCCACCCCGCTGGTTGGTGAATAATCTTATGTACGTCAGATAGAATTTCACCGGAGATGGACGTGGTAAATTCCAAATTTGCTCAGTCGAAGGGGACAATAGTGGATGAGCACTTCTTGTGGCTGTGTCAAGGCTATTAAGTGTAACCATAACGGCTACGATCTTTCAGCCCAGGCTCCTTAGGGTAGGAGAGAAGTCTTAGGAAGGCCAGAGTAATAGGAAGAATGTATTCTGTAGAGACGGAAAGGAAAATAGTTTATCGCAGGGGGTGAAGTAAGTTAAACCCTAGCAACTGCGATCTTCACACCATTGTTTCTTAGTAGAGGAGAAGTCGATGGAGGCCCGAATAGAAGGATTAGTTTACTGTGTACACAGAGGCACGAAGAATAGACGGAAGAAGATTGACTTGGGAGCACAGGACAAGCCAGGAGG